CAATTTGGTCTGGGCCCGAGGTGGGCTTAATAACCGGCGACTACTGTACCACTATAATTGCCCCCCCCATCTATTTTGGTTGATGTTTCTTATCCCTTGACGACCTAATGACGTCTGACAGTTGATTGGCCTATGCCCACTATAATTACCCTCCTTTTGGTCGTTGCTTCTTATCTCTGAAGATGGACTCCTGTAAGATTTCTAAAGCTCAGAACAATAAACCAATTGATCCGGTGCTCGACATGTCTTATTCTCAGTCCATACAATTACTTGGAACGCGAACGTTTTCATTCATTCCGAAACTGTTATTTAATTATAGTTAAACTTGACAACTTGCAGAGTACACGGAGTGCTGGCAGAATGTAGACACCAGCAATCGTATCCAGGACACCATTTTTGTGGTGTAATTCTTCCAATATGTTTAATTTCGTTTTTTTATGTTTATAGGCTATCCGTACTAATTTTTCTTCAAATATTTCCGCTCTAACTGCAGACAGCGGTTGGTTTCTGATAATTAAACAGCAACCTAGCAACAGTTAGAATCGAGCTAAACTGGCGGACAAGAGGAGGACTTATTAAATTGCTAGTGAAGACCGAAAAAATAGAAAAGCCGATGATGTTATGTCGAAAGCCCATTTAGACTAAGTGATTTTATCGTGTCCATTCCTTTTTGTTAGACATAGTCACTCAAATTTGGCGGCAACTTCGTAAAAATCACGAAAAGTAAAAAAAATTAGGCAGCGAACATTCTAATTCTGATGATGGGGACCATTCAGTAATACGATGGTGACAACCTTTCAGGTTCTCCCTTACGAACCTTTGACTTCTCGAGTTTTTTTGCGATGATATGCCACCTAATAAAACTCGAAAGTGCTGTAAATCTCAATATCCTCTTCAGGACTCAGCAAAGCAAATTGTATCAAGCGCAATATATCCTACAGACTTGGAAAATACTATGGTGCTAGAAGTGCGTAAGTAGCAATTTTGCGTTGTGGACTCCACAAAGTACAGAATAAAGGAAGATGAGCTTGTTTGTCAGTCCCAAAGGTTGTAATATCAATTTACAATTTTGGGCCGGATCACGCAGTTGCAAATATGCAGGTCGCTTTATAAGAGTCCCGTTCTTATCGTCAACTGAAAAAGTCTTCGGTTTACAATAAGTTTGTGGAAGACAGAATTATATTACAAATTTTAGTACAGTCGGCGCTGGAGAATTGATTTGTGGGTGCCTTTTTGCATCCAAAAGTTGTATTACTTGGTTGAGAAAGTTGTTTTGAAAATTAAAAATATCTAACCTTTGCTGTTTTTTCAATATCCAAAGACAACAGATCTTTCTTACAAGCCTCGCGTTCAGCCTTCAGTTGCGCAAGCTGAACAGTTACCTCCTTGACTTCAGAGGACTCCAAAGTCTAAAGAGGAAAAGACATCACTTAACTGAGGAAAATCTGCAGATAAAATATGCATACAGCTCAGAATCCCTTGTCCAGTACCCAAAATGTGAAAATCAGAGTTGCCCGTACTCAATAACAGTGAGGAGAATTTATAATACCTTCGGCGAACTTCAGACGGCGACCTTCCCCATATTGAGGTCCCACGCAGGACGCTTTCAAAAATAGACAGTAAAACATTTCGGACATTAAAGGCCCGTAACCGCATGGGTATACCTCCGGCCGAGCAGGGAAAATCGGCATTGGGCTGAACAAGGAAGACTACCACAATGCGAACCACGTAGTACTTCTGCTGCCAGTACGGTACGTAATTGCGTATTTTGTACTGCTGACTGTCTGTTGGCTGCTACGGAATATAACACAGTTCGTCCGCAGTGGTTGAGTGATTCTAGCTCAAATATTCATATTAGTTATTGAACCGAGCCGTGAAAATTTCGTTCCGAAGGATTTACTCCATGGTTGAGCATAACTTAAACAAGGCAAAATTCAAAACACTTGCGGGTGATGGAAGTTACTACGACCATCACGATGACACGGCGAAAGTGCTAGTAAATGATATTACAAAGGATCTAAAATGCCTTTGAGAGGTAAGAGGCCAAACAAATATTCATTGAAAAAAGACGAAACCCAAAGCTGCAAAGACGCTGCGAAATCCTATGGCCTCTCGATAGTCCATAAACGAGGAACGCCTGTGTATCCTATTGTTTTTCCATGGGGGACCCCGACGTTTGGCCCCACCAAGCTGTGCTCTCGGTGCCTTAAGTTTCTTACCCGGAATTCCGAAACACATCTCTCCATAGTTGAACCACTCGTGCAAACTCTGCAAGGTATTCAACCAGCAAAACACGAAAATTGTCGTGTCTTTTTTTAAGATCATTTTTTAACGCGATTCCGCAAGATCACGCAGTAGAAGCCTAAAAACCATGCTAGAAGAACGCTATAATGGGGAAGAAAAATCTTCAAGACAGAGAACCTTATAAAACTCCCAAAACACTGATCAACAACCTTATTCATGTGCTTATTAACTGTGGTCACTCACTCATAACACCACTGCACGTTTTACCTAGCTGTAACATACGAAAAGATCTACTGGGCGACGTTGCATACGATCTGTTTCACGGATTTGAAATATTCAAGCAGCGAAGTAAAGACAGTCTTTATAACAGTGAAGACCAAATAATGCAACATAAACAAACCTTCCGCGCTAGCCGTTCCTTCTCCTCCATACTGAGAACTTCTAGTTGTTCCTGTGAAAGAACGATAATTTATATTAATTAATCATAAAAAGCTTATGATAGGAAAATTACTGGAAGTTATAAAAAGTTACCAAACAACTACTGCCAAACCTTTGGCCCGGAAGAAAACCAAAAAAGCTTTTGATGCAACCTCATTGTCAACAAATTTACTTCATTTGGCTTAATCCATTAGTGCACTTTCTAGGTTTTTATTCTGATGTATTTGAATCCAGTACACGAACGTTCAAGACCTTTCCTTTGGAAGCATCTTACATATGATCTTCAGCAGCAGTAGGGAATGCTCATGGATTCTGACGACTAACAGTTTTAGCTGGGCTGCTCCAAAGGATGCCCATGACGAACATTATCGATTTGCCGTCATCTTCAAACAACCAAGGGAAATGCCAGTATTAATCAACTAGCTATCGGTAAATGAACATGACCGGCAAAGACAAGGAAGACTGTTTCAAACCCAACCTTAGACGGTGCACCAACCGAGGCCCGAACTCGCGACCTGTTGATCAGAAGTCTAACGTTGTATTTATTCTGACCAACAGTTAATGCGTTCGAGCCACGGGTTATGCAACACCTGGAGTTGGGTATCAAAGAGTCTCCTTTGTCTTTGCCAGCAATATTAATCTGCCGATAGCTACCTAATGTAATGTTTGCATTCACCAACGAATAAGTTGCTATCTTTTAAATTCAAAAGATGTCACAAAAAAACAATGAGCAGCAAATTCACCGCTGCTACTTGCTTGTTGGAAAATAAATGTCCAGGTTCCTAGAGGTATCAAGTAAATTTAATTTGATCGGTACAAGGATGTAAGTTTCCTGTCTGCGGGCTTTTAGTATTTGGACAGTCTGAAGCATAATTATTGTAGTTATATAGTATCATAAACTCAGTCATTTTAAAATTTACAAATGTAAGTCAAATGACAATCGTGCGGGTGGATGGAGGTCAAAACTATAAATATGATTGTTTGATAGTAATCTCCTTGTAATTTAATAGGAACATTGCCAAAATCGCAATCACTGATATTATCGTTGACGATTGTTTACCAGAAAAACAATAAATTCAACTTTCTTCAGCTTAAGCCGAAGTTCATGACCAGACGCTATCCCGCGAAAGTTGGAATAAAATCGTCCGCACCGCTCACTCAAAGTGGGTATGTTGATGCTGTGCAACAGGTGGTTTTTCTATGATCGTAAATGTATTTATACATTTCCCGAGAAATAAAAGAATAACCCATCAGTAATTTCCAAGAGTGCGCAGTATGGGTGGCATATAAGTGCCGGACAAAATGCTAGCATGAAGATTTCGGTTTGAGAGAATGCATATCCGTAATTGTGGGGCAAAAAAGTATTAAAGTGCACACCTTGACTGCCTTCAACTCATTTTTCCTTTGATCTAATTCACGGTTCACGTCCTCCAATTTTTTGGCTGAGTTCTCAACATCTTGCGTGCTGCGGGAATTCAGGAGATCCAATTCTGCTGATTTAGCTCCCACCTCACGGCACAACGACTCCAGCTGTGATTTTGTCTCAGCAATCTGGAGGCCCAGTCAGAAGAACTCACATCAAAGATCGGCAAAGTACAATAAACTTAGTGCACATAACTATAAAGTAAATCATAGTCACTGCAAATTTCACCATGAAAATTATGTAGCCGAGGACATCAAAATAAACTTGGTGTCAACTACTGGACGAAAAGATGCTGTATGACGGAAGGGAAAACGGAGAATGTGTTGAATATCGAAACAGCCTCGAATGCCTTTGGAAAGTTATTGTTCAGGAAAAAACTGACCAAAAATGATATATATTTGCGAGAACTAAATTACTTTAATCATGTTTAAGTTGTTTCTCTTGATTTGACCTAAGTTTGGATTTAAGCCGTCCATCTACTTTTTGCTATGCCATTTGGAAACATGATAACGCCTTTACTTCTTGTCGTGAAATATGCTTCTATCAGTTAATTAGCTTAACGGGAAACTGTAATTTCACATTCCGGACTCAAATGACACGCGATAATGACGTTACTTCCTTGGCAGATGTTTACTGCGTTTTATGGAAGACTCAACAACACTACTTTTTAGTCGCAGAAGGACACCTCGAGTCTCCTGACCGACGGCAGTCGAGCTTGTATCACGGATAAAGCGGTGAATATCCCCGTTACTTGCTCCGTGTAACACATTCCTGTGCTCAGCATGGCGAGATTTCCGTCCATATGGTGAAACTAGCGCAACAAAAACACTTTATGGACGACTACGGTTCATATTAGAAGGCTGATGAATGTTACTGCATGCGTCTGATATGCAAATTATTCCATTCCACTAAAACGTGA